AATCCTACAAGGAAATAAATAATATTAATCAAATCAGAAAATATAATTAATCATAAATATTGATTTGATTTCTAATAAATAGTAAGTGATGGAAAATACAGAACTAGTCCTATATTTCTAAAAGAGTTTGAAACTACAAAATAGCACATAAAATCTATGTATTTGTATTATACAAGAAAAGTGGTAAAATTCATTGATTAAATGACTGATAGTACAATGTTTATAATTTTGACTTGATCGATTAAGGTGAGGACCCATGTTCAAATTTGCTAACTCTTAGTTAATCTGAGGGTCCTAGTGAGATATTGTCAACCGGGATACCTTGCCCATGATACATGGTCATAAGCCCATACTAATAAACTAATCTAAATCTAGGATAACATTTTTGGCGAATCTTCTAAAATCAAAATAATAAAGTTTAATCTGTTTAATTTTTTTTATAAACACAAATTTTTAATTTTTAAACATCTTATTAAGATTGAAAACAATTGTGTAAAGCAAGGTAAAATTAATCATGGGCGTTTCAATGGCTCGAAGCTCCCTTATTTCCTCAACTCAACATACAGAGCTATCTCGCATGTAGGGCATGGTTGTAATAACCATCATTTGGTTGCTACCTAATTAAATTTGGTTCTTTCAATGAATGTAATCCACAATCCAATTAAAAGTTTAGCCTTCTAACGGATGTAAGCCCCAAATTCAAAATTATATTTAGGCTAGCTTCTACGCTATTAAACCCATAAAATTAATTGAAACCTAAAAATGTGACAAATAAACAATCTACATACAATCATCTTGGTCTACTTAGGATTCCTAAGAGGAGGCAACCTATGGCTACTTATTAGATTATCTTGCTAATCAGATTACTTGGACATAATAGCTTATGATTCTTTAACATTGGTAGATTGAGATCATTGATATTCCCTAGATGATGGAATCATGAGATTTTGATTGAGTTTATCTCCATTTCTCAAAAATATCTCCCATTAATTTAAATAATTATGGAAATATTAAGCTTAAATTTAAACCAACATCAAACTAACTATCATTAATCGAGAGTGCTCTTCCGTGAATGAAATGGATAATTAACTATAAGTGCTTCCGCTCATAGAAATTTAGACCTCATATCTAAATAAACGCTGATACAAACATCAGGAGAAATCTAGTTAAAGTAAAACTGTTGTTCCTCATGAAAAATGGAATCCTAAAATTGAAGGCAATGTTCAGGCATTTTTGCTGATTGAACAACCTATCATTCAAAGCAATTGTCTATGTCTACCAACTAAGCTGTAAAAGTTTTAAGATCAATTTTACCATTCTAGATAAATACTTTAACATAACTTTCTGATTATCATCTACATCAAAAGTTTTAATGTATGAGATTTATATCAACATCGTTGCTAAAGATGTTGAATTGTCTATTAAGATAATTCTTTACGCCTAGAATTAACATTCAAATGAATTGATTCATCATTATAATTAGAATCCACCTTTTGTTCACTTTCATGAATTTGATTGGTTTCCAAGTTATCAATTCTTATTTTAACTAGAATAATTTCATCGCACATTTGATTTATTTAACTATTCAACCAATTGATTTTACAAATTTATTAAGATTCCACACCTTTTCATTATTCATTAAGTTGCCTTAATAATTAGCCTATAATTTAATCTAAAGCTATAATACTAATTTGATGCAAGACGACCTATGATAGAGTTTCCTAATGCAACAAATATGACGCGTAGTATATACTTTCTTTTAAACGAAAATAATGAGGATTTACATATCGGAAGCTACCAATTAATTCATTAACTTCCTTTCTTTGATTAAAAACATGTGATACTAGAGTTTAAGCATAATTAATAATAAAATGATGGAACATTTTGTTTAGAATTTGGAAGCAAATAAAATGAGTGAGAAAAAGAATTAATTTTCACAAAGTCAAAATTTCAACATATCACTTTTTGATCAAAATCAATAGCTAAAGTAAAGAAAGATCAGGCTTACAACAGTATAAGGAGAACTTTCCTGACAATCAAGTATTTGCACAGGTATTGTACTCAAAAGAATCACACATCCAATTGCCACTTATTAGATTAATGTTAAAAATATAAATTTTATTCAAGCTAAAAGTTTTGAAGTACCATCATCAAAACTCTATTTGTAGACTCCTTATAACAATTTTAATAGATAAGGTTGACTTAGGATAAATTTCAATTCAGATTAAGTTAATTTTAACATTTATTTTAAATTCCCCAAAAATAGTTGAAAAAACTATCAATTTAAATTTGAAAATTGCAGGCAAGTGAAGTATGACATCGAGTGCCTACAATCCTGTTGGTAGTTAAGAGAGCTGCATGCCTACATCACCCACAAACCACACAAACGATGATATGTTATTTAGGGAGGAAACATGAAGAAGGCAGCTCCTAAGAGCAAGAACACCAAAGAATAATAAAAACTACTATATTTTCCAAAACATATATCATATCATTCCTCATTATCTCCTACAACTTGTATATAACTAAATAATACAAATTCCTAGAATATTATAGAAAAACAGGAATAAACTAGGAGCAATAATCCTAAGGCATGCTATAACTAAAAATGATCCACTTCATTCTTCTCCGGTACAAAGAAAATAGAGTAAGGGGCGGAGTCGAGGAAGACGGGCGCGTGCGAGACATAGCACATGGGCACAGGCCTAGCTCGGGGCATAGACGACGCGTGCGGGATGGAATACGTGGGCACGGGCGTGCGTCGGAACGGAGATGGACCCGTGTGGACGGAGCACTTGTGGGTGCTCAAGCGATCGGGCGGACGGCATTATGCAAGGGTTGAGCACTGAATGCGGATCATGGGATTGGAGCATAAGTGGGTTGGAGGACGGATTACACGAAAATGGGTGCGGGTCGTTGCAGAAATGGGAAGATGCCTACTGTCGCGAGCGGTGTTGATGACAGGCGTGGCCATTCGCGCGGACTAGACAAGCAAGGGCGATGCAGGTCGACGGTGCTGGTCGGTTGTGAGGAACGCGTCCAAGGTCATGGCCGAAATACAGTCGCCGATAGGCGGATCATGTGTTGAGATGTCCGACGGCATGGTTGCCAGCTAGTGGAGGCTTCGAACGTCATTGACTGCCAATCTTCATTCATGGTCTCTCCAAAGCATCCAAAACTTCGATCGACATCAAGGGTTATGTAGCAAAAGCCTAAGGCTCTGATACCAAACTGATGTAGAGAGGAAACATGAAGAAGGCAGCTCCTAAGAGCAAGAATACCAAAGAACAATAAAAACTATTGTATTTTCCAAAAATTATATCATATCATCATACCTCCTCACTATCTCCTATAACTTATATATAACTAAATAATAGAACTTTTTAAAATATTATAGAAAAATAGAAATAAACTAGGTGCAATAATCCTAAGGCATGCTATAACTAAAAATGATCCACTTCATTCTTCTCCGGTACAAAGAAAATAGAGTAAGGGGCGGAGTCGGGGAAGATGGGCGCGTGCGAGACATAACACATGGGCACAGGCCTAGCTCGGGGCATAGACGACGCGTGCGGGATGGAATACGTGGGCACGGGCGTGCGTCGGAACGGAGATGGACCCGTGTGGACGAAGCACTTATGGGTGCTGAAGCGGTCGGGCAGACCGCATTATGCAAGGGTTGAGCACTGAATGCGGATCATGGGATTGGGGAGCATAAGTGGGTTGGAGGACGGATTATACGAAAATGGGTGCGGGTCGTTGCAGGAATGGGAAGATGTCTGCTGTCGCAAGCGGTGTTGATGACAAGCGTGGCCATTCGCACGGACTGGACAAGCCAGGGCGATGCAGGTCGACGGTGCTGGTCGGTTGTGAGGAACGCGGCCAAGGCCGTGGCCGAAATACAGTCGCCGATAGGCGGATCATGTGTTGAGATGTCCGACGGCATGGTTGCCAGCTAGTGGAGGCTTCGAACGTCATTGATCGCCAATCTTCATCCATGGTCTCTCCAAAGCATCCAAAACTTCGATCGACATCAAGGGTTATGTAGCAGAAGCCTAAGGCTCTGATACCAAACTGATGTAGGGAGAAAACATGAAGAAGACAGCTCCTAAGAGCAAGAATACCAAAGAACAACAAAAACTATTGTATTTTCCAAAAATTATATCATATCATACCTCCTCACTATCTCCTACAACTTATATATAACTAAATAATAGAACTTTCTAGAATATTATAGAAAAATAGAAATAAACTAGGTGCAATAATCCTAAGGCATGCTATAACTAAAAATGCTCCGCATCGGTTCGTATTAATTGGACCACAGTGGAACTGCATGCTCATGTGAGCTAATCCCACACTCTTAGTGTCTTCAAAGCCCATGCACATGCTCGCAACATCTAGGTCTCGCTTGTCCAGCCCTTCCCTTTATTTCCAAATTTGTTTTATTTAATGAATAATGTCACAGATCACCGCCTTAGCACATCAAGGTTAAAGTATTAAACTGTGTCAATTCGTTGATAAGCAGCTCATATTTGGCGTACAAATTGCAAAAGTAGATATTAATAATATATTATGGCAGAAATTTCAATAAATCAAATTACTTCGTAGTGGTTTTCATCATATTTGTTGCTACATGGAGTTTACAAAATACAGGAGCTTGGAATCTTTATGTGATTTTGATTATTTATTTAGGGACGCTCATTCCATGAAAATAGACAATCTTTTGTAATTTGTTCTTTGAAACATCTTTATTTCCATCAACCATAATATGTAATATAGATGAGAGGATAACAGGTCTGCAAAGGTATCTAAGGAGCAGTATTATTTCATTATTTGGTATTAATCAAATATAACATTTAAACAAAATAGAAATTCAGTTTTCAAATTGCAAAATTCTGTTTGTATTGTATTCTGCACAATCTTGCCTGTATTTACTCCATGGTAATGCTTTGAGCTATTAATTAGATCTAATGAACTGTGGTATCTGTGCGAAAAAATAGTTTTGTAGATGCTTCCTCTGTGTTCTTCGGACAGCATTTCTTCATTTGCACAATGGTCAGGGAACAATAAATCTTCTAAAACGTCCAAGGTGAATTATTGGGTTCAGTTACTTTTTAAGTTCACTGAACATTTGGAACACTCTTTCTTTGGCTCTGTTGCTATCTTTGTATGTTACATAGGAAAGCTAGCTTTCACGTCTGACAAGTTTCTAATATGATTATTAGACAAAATGATCAAAGTTAGAAGATAATTGCTCAAAATTAGAAAATATTTAAACAAAGATTGAGCATCCCTGACAGAAAATTTAAGTTGCATGATGATAGTACCAATGTTCAAGGTTTGACTATTTTTTTTTTAGGAAATATTATTCTGTGCGGAGACCGGACGCAGAACGCCATCTGGAGACCAATCAGAATGCGACACTTGCTATCTTCCTTTTCTTGAGATTGTAGTAGCCTAGGAGAGTCTGGAATATTTTCCGTCACAATCTCCTCTCGCCTTGCTCGAGTGGTCTAACAACTCCTCTCGAACTACCTCTAGAGTATAACATATGCTATACTTCGTAGTATAGCTACTTCTTCGTTACTCGCATTCCTCTCCTTTCAGTCGAGCATGTCTCCTCCGCCAACAATAGATAGATCGGGTGTGGTGTTCGAAGGTGGATAACGAACGATAACTGTTTTGCCAAGGCGAGTGCTTTCTTCCTATTTGGATTCGATTTAGACATTCTCAATGGTCCCCAGCCCGATCAAGTCACAAAACGATTCTTTATATTTAGAAATAATAAGTACCCGTTGAGAATAAGGAAGGGGCCCTTGAAGTTGTTCGTTTGGTCACTTTCTTTTATGTTAGTAAAGAAAACGAGTTAATCTGACACAAACAAAGAATTTTTTTTCAGCGGTACCAAGCCACGGTGCCGAGCAAAGGGGTGATGTGGTGCATTCTAGTTGGTCTCCAGACGGCGTTCGGCGTCCCCACAGAATAATTAATCTTTTTTTGGAGGCCTATTTAACGTGTAAGAATCTGTCTTTGCATTTGTCAGGTTCTTAGTTCATTTTCAACATTTTCAATTAATTAAGTTGTGTATTCTTGAAGTCTAATTTTTGTTTGTAATTCATTCTCACAAATAATAAACTTAGTAGGCTCTGAGACTGTGACTCACATTCTATTTATCAATTAAGATTATGGTGGATGGCACATGTTCTATTCCATAGCGTTAACTGACCTGTAGTCTATATAATAAGTTAATAACACAAGTAGCAATGCTGCAGATTTAAGAATACCAACTTTTTGTTTATAAGACCCCGATTCTTGAAAAGAATACTAAAGAAAGACAAGCTGCCTCAATGGTTAATTTTTTCTCATAATAGAAATTTAAATATTTTTTAGTTGTTACTAATTTACCTTTGCGTTTACTAGTTTGGGCATGAGAAATTCTTATCTTTATTTATTCCTAATAAAGGTTTATGTGCAAAAATCTATCATTAGATATCTTCATGTATGTATATATACAGTTTTCTTTTTTTTTTCTTTTTGGGACATTTAGGCCATTTAAGGCAAACTCACACACACAACGCATACACATAGACTCGAACCCTGGACCTCTTAGTTGGAAGCCTAAGCTCTCAACCAATAGGCCAAGGAGAGTTGTGTTATACAGTTTTCTTTCTGAGAATAAAGAGCTTGAAATTTCGTTTGGGATGAAAAGCCATTCTAAACGAAGCCTGAGTATAAATGAAGGAAAGAAAACACGTCAATCTAAAGCAAAATTTTCAAGGAAATAGTAAAAAGACACTGGAAAAAAAAAAGACCAGCTTTCCGCATCTAGCAAGCAGAATCATTGCCTCACTGTATGACATTATTTAGTATCACCTCGTCTAAAATGAAGTTCAACTTCACCTAAGAAAAAAAGTCGTTTAAAATGGAAAAAAAAAAAAAAAACATAAATACTAACAAATCAATACTCCAATACAACACCTTCCACCATCATCCAACAAGCCTATAATCAAACTATCAGGATTATCAATTGATCGATGCCAGCTCTCATAATTGCTGCTCTGTTTTTCCTCCTGGGATGGCTGAGAGAACACATCTCGCAGAAGCAAGAAACAGAGTGGGTGAGGAAGGTTGGAAGGAGATGAGGATTAAGCCTAGTCTCTCCAACAAACGAGCATGGTGACACAGCGGCGCATTATGTAGAACCTGGCCCTCTGCTCTTTCGCCAGTCTAGTGCACCGCCGAGTGAAGGACCGCCTGGCCGCTGCGCTTTCCTTCTTGTCGGAGTCCGACGCCATTGTTGTCTCTTTCTTGCTCCCCTTCTTCACTAGCTTCCACTTCTTCTCCACGTACAGTTCCATTTCCTTCAAGAGACTGCGGCGACAGACAGAAAGAGAGAGATGGGAAGGAGTGGGCTGTTATTAGCTCTGATTAAGAGAATTGTGGAGAGGCAGGGGAGACCATTTTTATAGGAATAAATTGAGGGTTTTGCCACCTGCACAAGTCTAAAGCTCAATAAATGTCTCTGTGAGTTATCATGTTATTTAAACATATCATTATATTAATAGAAAGTATCTAGATATTAATGATTTTAGAATTATATTAGCGTTTTAGTAATTATGACATGTATGCTAATAAATGTGTCAATATATTAATAACAATTACAATTTTAATTATAAACGATTTTTAACATAAAATCATTAATATAGTATATAATTTAACTATACTCTATTTAAAATCATAATCTATACATTCTCTATATAATTATACTATATTTAACTATATAATTATACTATAAAGTGTCTAGATATTAATGATTTTTAGAATTATATTAGCCTTTTAGTAATTATGACAAGTATGCTAATAAATGTGTCAATATATTAATAACAATTACAATGTTAATTATAAACGATTTTTTTTAATCATGAATTGTATCAATATATGAGGAAATTATTCTGCACGGTCACTGGATCGTTCGGAGGTAAATTAGGATGCGCCACGTCATCTGATGTATAGTGGTACATAGTACTGACATATAGCAAAAAAGTGATATAGCGCATCTTGATTCACATCCATATGGCATCTTGTGCCCGCTTCTTTTATATCTTACATCATGACTATATAGAAGATGAATTCAAGAAATGGTGAGCAATCAGATTGCTATATTTACTGAGAATTTGCAATTACATATGAATTTCTAAAAGACTATATAAATATACTAAAATGCAGTGATCAATGAAGCAATATGCCAAAGTATTAGCAACAACAGGAGGTGAGGAGGAAAAAAGAATAGAAGAAAAAAAAAATGATTTAAAGAGAGTGAAAATGACAAAATATATTAAATAATGTCTTATCTTGATTGAAATAAATATTTTGTTTATGGGTTATTTAATTTGTTGAAAGAGAAATATGTTGTAAAATGAATGTAATGTATTTGAAAAAATTTGGATAAAAGTAAAAAAAATATAGGAGCTTTTTTTTTTTTGCTTGAAGTAAAATGATTAAGATGGTGGTGGGTAGTTGTGGCAGCGACGACGAAGACAGTGGTAGAGGTCAGAGACAATGGCCGGCGATAATGTAGCCAATTTTTGATAAAAAGGAGTTTGGGCAACACTGAGCGAGATTATAACACATAAATAAATAAACCAGAAAATGAAAAAGGAATTCACTAATTATATTACTTTTCATAAAATCAAAAAAACATTCAAATTTGCTTGGTGAGATTCAAATCTATTAGCTATTTTTTCTAATTAGAATTTTTTTAGATAAATTAATTGAACTTTTTGAAAGGATTCGCTGTCAAATGATTGAAGAATATTATTTCTTTATAATACGAAGATTTTTCGGTTCTTTTTTTTAAAATAATAAAGTACGGTCATATGAGGATAACTTTTCATATCATCCCTATTTTGAAGTTTGTCAATAAATTATTGGAAATAATTTTTCTTTTCTTGAATTTATTTTTAGGAAGGCTCATCCTTTTTTTTTTTTTTGGGAAATTTTGGGGCCTAAGCCCATATATTATTGATATGAATAGAAATATTACAAGTGACTATTGAAAAAAACAGCCCAAAAACATAAGAAACAACAAAAACTTATGTTGGCTAGAATTAAAAAATCACAACTATACCACCCAATAGAACAAAAATTCTTGTGTATAACCAAAACGTGGTAGTAGATGCGATGCATCTAGGACTCAGGCTGCTGACCGAGCAGATAAATCGATAGGTAGCACGCACGAGTGTGGCTTGAGTTATCCCCTGGTTGCCAAAAAGGACCCTTCAAGGGGAGAGAGGTTCAGCAACGATCATCATCGTCCTAAAAAAATACCCCCTGGGACAAATGCTGCAAACCTGGTTGCCCCGAAGGCCCTCCAGGTCACAAACGGGATGATCCAATAGGTTGTCAAAAACCTTCTCCAATTGCACAGAAACTCCAATACCGTTCTGACTTCCACCCTCCAATAAGAAACTCCCAGCAAGGAGTTCAGAGATACCAAAATAACAAGCGGTCCAGAAGAACAAAAAAATCCAGAGAAGAATATCACCAAAACAGCCCTCTATGAGCTGCCCTCTTATAGCAATTCCATCAATGCATACCCATTTTTTCATTTCAGCAATTTAGAAAAAACCGCACTTTTAATTTTGTAACTTAAGGTAGTAGAAGATGCAAAAACATTGCCAAACTTCCTATCATTCCTTTCTCTCCAGAGGTGATAAATAGCACATCAAAGAATGAGGTAGTAAAAAGGCTTTAATTTACCTTGAATACTACTAAGGCATTCAAAGGTTTGCAGAATATTAGGCCTAAAAAGATGAATTGTCATACTGGGAATGAGGTTAGATATTACCAAAAAAGAGTAATCACACTCAAAAAAGAGGTGAGAGATGTTTTCATTTTCTTTGTGGCAAAGGGGGCAATAGGTATCAGCAATAATCCCTCTAGTTTTGAGCACATCCACAGTTTTACGACCTCCCCGCAAGGCCATCCAACCGAATGTAGAATACCTCAGATAATGGTGTTTATGCCATATGAATTGATGCCAGTTACATATAGAATCATTCTTGAAAAGAAAGTTATAATAATTGCTATAAGCATTGCTTTTCTCCCCATCCCATGTAAGACATCCATAAATATTCCCCCCTACAGCAATCTCGAAAAATTTCAACTGCAGAGAGGCAGAAAAATGAGACGGCAAATACCACCCAGTTTCATTAAGAATCACAGAAATCCGAGAACTATCTGGGAAGGAATTGAGGATCTCGTGCACACCAACAAACTCCTGGAGTTGAGCCCCATTGCACCAATGATCCTAGTATAAGAATATGTGAGCTTTGTTAGTTGGAGTAAAAATGAATTCATCCTTAGCACTCTGAGCTACATTACAAACTTTCTTCCAAAAAATGGTGGCCTTCATAGATGGGGGTTTCCAAGGAGAAACATATTTATGAAAAAACAAGGAAGAGAGGGGGCTGTTGTAATTATATAATCTCTTAATTAGAGAGCAATGAAAACTGAATTGCACAGATTGAAGAGACGGAAGGCCAAGGCCACCATAAACTTTTGGTTTACAAGTGTTCTTCCAAGATATAAGGTGCATTACATGCCTTAATATCGCCAAAATAAAGAAATTTTGCACAATGTTTCTCAATTTGCTTTATGATGGTTTTAGGTATTATAGATCCTCGTATCCAGTAGGCGATGATATTCCAAATAGTAAACTGTAGGAATTGCGATCTACCAGCAAATGATAGGGCTTTCGCTTTCCAACAGAAAGTTTGTGCATGATAGTTTCCATTAGCTTAGAAAAATCAGAAAGCTTAGGATTGTAAGGGGAGATGGGGACCCCAAGATATGCAATAGAAGTTGATGTGCAGGGAATCTTAAGAATAGTGCTGATGACATTGGGATTTGGACAGTTTTTGGAAATTAAAAGAGTGCTCTTTCCATAATTTACCTCAAGACTAGATGCCACAGAAAAAATACCAATCAACCGGCACAGATTCTCACAGTTTTGGATGTCAGCTTGTCCAAAAATAAGGAGATAATCAGCATACATCAGATGGGATAATCTAAAACCGTCCACCATTGGGGCTTCAAATGTTGCATCTTTATCCAATAGACAAGAAAAAGCATCCATAACAATACAGAATAGATAGGGGCTTAAAGGGCACCCCTGTCTCAACCCAGGTGAGGAGAAAAAATACTCATGTAGTGCACCATCAATGCAAACAGAAAACCAAACATCATTAATACAAGCATTAATCCATTTGATGAAGGACTGGGGAAATCCTTTTTGAATCATCCTAGCAATAAGGAATTCCCTAGATATACTGTCAAAAGCTTTTTTAATATCCAACTTAGCACATAGCATCTTTAATTTAGGAGAGTTCCTAGAGTGAAAAAGAATATCATTAGCAAGAATAACATTGTCAGTGGATATCCGTTTATGAATGAAACCAGATTGATTTCCTTTGATAATGAGAGGCATAATAGGTTTCATCCTAGCCGCCAGATTTTTTGCTATGATTTTATAAGTGGTATTGCACAAAGAAATATGCCTGAAGCCAGAATCGCTTCAGCATGATTAATTTTGGGTATGAGTGTAATGGCTGTAGCCTTAGCAGCATTGGGGATATAAGCATTGTGATAAAATGACTTCACTGCTTTGCACACCATAGGCCTAGTGACAATCCAAGAGGATTTGAAGAATTCGAAATTGAAGCCATCCGAGCCTGGGGTAGAGTTTGATGCTCCAGAGAAATCCGCCTTTTTAATTTCAGCATCTGTAACAGGAATGGTGAGAGATAAAACATATTCAGGAGGAATGACATTACCAACCGGAAAGTGTAGAATTTCAAAGGGCTGCCTCCTAGGTGGATTGTAGAGCCTTTGGAAATGAGAAATAATATATTTGACCGCTTCAGAGAAGGAGAAATTTGAATTGGACATAGTAA